CATTTTATATTTAAATTATCTATTACTTAACCGATTTATATTACGACCCTTTAATATTTATTTTTATTTTTATTTTCAATTAATTTAATTATTATGTTTTACACTAAGGATGACCTGATGAAGTTTGAAGTTTGTATGATTTAATGTTTATATGAACTGATAAAAATTAAAGATAGATTAATCATTGGCACTTGACAACTAGCCTTTCCTTCCTGGCAATTTAAATAGATAAATTTTATATTATATCAGCTTAAATAAATTATTATATTATTTATAATATTCTATTTAATTCCATTTTTTAAATTTATGCTTTAAAGTCTTGTGGCCCTGATGATAGAAATGATTCCGAGATCTCGGAGCAGTGATTTTTAGCATCATAGATGCAATGCTTAATAAGCATTTTTGTAATAGATAATAATAAATCATCACAGAGCAATGTTATAAATTAGAAGGAAAATTTTATTCTTATTATATATGTATATATATATAAACGCTTGACTTTATTACAGGCAATGTTAAGAAGCTGTTAACATTCAAAGTCTGGATTCCACTTAGTAGACTTACATATTGCGCTTACCTTTTAAATCCTTTTATCATAAATTCGATTCGTTTGCATAGTGAAACATCTGCTCATTTAGAAATTCTGTCCATGGTAAGTACACGAACAATCAGAACTTCAACCTCGACAAAATAAATATACTTATTGTCACAATTTTCATTTTTAGAGCGCTATGTTCATGGAATACATTGGAATTAGTTATTTCTATGCATATGTATTATTTTTAATGGCAGAATCACCGTATATCTAGAGACACGGTAGTGTCTTGGCGCTAAGCCAAGCGCAGCGACACTGCCGTGCCTCCTTTATGCGAACCGGCGAGTTGCGGGAGTTTAAGACTATCGGATCTCAATAACGGCTGAACTGATCAAGTTCTATATACTGTAAGGATGGCTGTAAGAGTGGTTCAATAATAAATACCACAGTAGACGAATATTTGAATTTTTAAACTCATAATATCCGTTATCGAATGTCTATTCGTTGAAGACTTTATGTCTCTATATAGGATGTCTGAAGGCGAAGGAGAGAGAGAAGGAAGTTTCATTTAAACAGTCACGGCACTTTACTCCGATCACTGACTTTATTTGAACTCTTTTTGATAATTATGAGAGTACTCGGACGGCGCTTACAATGAACGTTACGAAAGTAGTCGTCATATCGCAATACCGCAATAATGTTATACCGCAAGCGTTATACCGTAACAGCGTTATACCGTGCTCCGAAGACTCGTGCTCCGATTTTTATATCTGTCGTTACGCGTTCTCGCGGACAGCGCCGTTAGCACGAATATACGTACTACAATTGTTATTTCCTTAGACTACAGATGTCTCTAGTGTTCATTTTCGGCAGTACCACGGGAATACTCAGTGCTGCCTTATATTGCGCTTACAATACGCTCAATCGGTAGCTACCGTTCGAACGTATAATTAAGTGCTTTTATTTTTTTTTTACGTGCCCTACAAGCGGAGATATCGCGACGTAAAGTTCCGAACTGCCACTTTTCAGATTCAGATACGTCGTTATTATTATTATTATTATTAACGTCGTCGACCACATTCCGCGCATTCCATTTGGTGTCCTGACATTCTTTACGCAAGGAGCGCTAGTGATGACAGATCGGCGAGCGCTGCAATCTGTACTATACTACGTAACTACATACTACGATAGTGCCTCGGCCGTTTTTTCAAAACAATAGGATCGGTAAAGTCGGTAATAAAGAAACACGCTGGTAATGTTTTATATATATGTATATATATGTATATACAGGGTGTCTCAAAAAAACGGATCGAAACACAATGGGGACGTAGATTGGATCGAGGAGAACAAAACAGTTTTGTACCATTTTGCAGTTGACGCAATATTTAACGAGATATTAACGTTTAAAGATAGGCGAATACAAGCGTCCGACCAGCCTACT